ACTAAAAGCGGATACGGTAGTATTAATGAAGTAATACCACTGTGTCCAAAAAGTAAGACCAGTTTTCAATTTAAATCGCGCGGGTAAATCGCACATCATAAATATTTTTTTTCTAAGTTGGCAGCATTGTGACAGACATCTTCTTGTGACAAATTTCATGTCAAAACATTCATTACTTTTTGGCAGAAAACCTTCGGGGACCATGCTTTGTCGGAAAGGAATGTTTACAAGTGGTGTAAACAGTTCAGAGAAGGTCGTGAAAGTGTTGAAGACGAAGAGCGTTCCGGATGACCATCAACCTCTACCGATAAACAACACGTCAAGAAAATCGAAGAACTTGTGCTTGCTAATCGTCGAATGACTGTTAGAGACCTTGCTGATGCTGTTGGTATTTTGAAAGGATCTGCCAATCAATTTTGAAAGATATTTTGGGCCTGAAACGTGTAAAATCTCGACTAGTGCCAAAACATCTCAATTTCTTCGAAAAAGAGCGTCGCATTAAGATCTGTGAAGAGATGCTTTCTGACTATCAATCGGTCATGAAACGGATTATTACTGGAGATGTGACTTGGATCTATGCTTACGACCAGGAAACCACCGACCAATCCAATGAATATCGTGCAAAAGGTGAAGCGAAACCGAAAAGATCGCGCCAAAGTCGATCGAAAATCAAGGTCATGTTGACAGTTTTCATCGATTATCGTGGTGTTGTCCATTCAGAATTCCTTCCACCCGGTCAAACCGTCAACAAAGAATATTATTTGAGTGTTATGCGTCGTTTGCGTGAAGCTATTCGCAAGAAGAGGCCAGAATTGTGGGCAGACAATTCTTGGTTTTTGCATCACGATAATGCACCTTCTCACACTGCACTCGTTCTTCGTGACTTTTTCGCCAAAAATTCGATCCATATCGTTCCACAACCACTATATTCGTCTGATTTAGCACCGTGTGACTTCTGGCTATTCCCGAAACTCAAAAGACCACTGCGGGGAAATCGTTTTGAGACGATAGAAGAGATACAACGTGAATCGCTACGCGCTCTGAAAGCCATCCCGGAAGGCGACTTTAATTCTTGTTTCGAGGACTGGAAAATACGTTGGCATAAGTGTATTGTGTCGGGAGGGGATTACTTT